CCCCCCCTGCCCCCCCCCTTTGTGCTCGATGGGGGCCCCACCATGGACCAGCCACGCGGGGGGGGCGGGGCCGACACCTCCCCAATTTGGGTGGGGCCAAAATGGCGGCAAAACCCCGGAGGGGGCCTGGGGGCGTGTGAGGGGACAAGATGGCGGCCGAGGTGATCCTCGCCTCTCATTGGCTGCTGCCAGATGGACAAAATGGCCGCCCAGCCGATCCTTGTCTCTCATTGGATGGCTCTTGCCCAACCAAGATGGCGGCCCAGCCGATCCTTGTCTCTCATTGGATGGCTCTTTCTAACCAAGATGGCCGCCGAGGTGATCCTTGTCTCTCATTGGTTACTGCCACACAGACAAAATGGCGGACGAGGTGATCCTCGCCTCTGATTGGCTGTTCCTGTCCAATCAAGATGGCCGCCAAGCGGATCCTTGTCTCTCATTGGCCACCACACACAGTCAACATGGCCGCCAGGGCAATCCTTGTCTCTCATTGGCTGCTGCTGCCTGGCCAAGATGGCGGCCAAAAAAATCACCAAAATGGCGGCCGAGGTTCAGGCCCCCCCGATGGCTCCAGGTGTGCCCCCAACCCTTCCAGGTGTGCCCAGGTGTGTCCCCAAACCCCCCAGGTGTGTCCCCAGGTGTGTCCCAGGTGTGTCCCCCTGTCCCCAGCTCTACCCCAAGCCCATCCTATCCCCCTCAGGCTTACCCAGGTGTGCCCAGGTGAGCCCAGGTGTGTCCCTAAACCCCCCAGGTGTGTCCCTAAACCCCCCAGGTGTGTCCCCGAACCCCCCAGGTGTGTGTCCAAGCCCCTCAGCTCCACCCCAAGCCCTTCCTACCCCCACAGCTATACCCAGGTGTGCCCAGGTGTGTCCCTAAACCCCCCAGGTGTGTCCCAGGTGTGTCCCCACCCCCTCAGCTCCACCCCAAGCCCTTCCTACCCCCCCTCAGGCCCAGTGAGTTGCTCCCAGGAGCTCCCAGGTGCGCCCAGGTGTGCCCAGGTGTACCCAAGTATGTCCCCCAACCCCCCAGGTGTGTCCCAGGTGTGTCCCAGGTGTGTCCCAGGTGTGTCCCCAAACCCCTCAGCTCCACCCCAAGCCCTTCCTATCCCCCCCCAGCCCCACCCAGTTGCTCCCAGTTGTTCCCAGGCTCTCCCAGGTGTGCCCAGGTGCGCCCAGGTGCGGCCTAGCAGGGCGAGGTGGACAGGTGCGGGTGCGGGGGGGGTCTCTGGGGGTATTTGATGGCGGGGGGGTAGTTCTGGGTCATCTGGATGGACACGTCCGAGGAGGCGTCCGAGGGGCTGCGGGCGCGCGGCCACGCCCGCGGCTGCAGGAACTGCCCCGACAGCCCCGAGCAGGTGCTGAGGCGCGGCCGCAGCAGGTGAGGGGGGGCGCGGTACAGCTCCTCCTCGGCGTAGCGCTTGGTGAACAGGTACACCGACATCACACCTGCGCCCTGGGGGGAGAGACACACCTGAGTGACGTCACAGTCACACCTGAGTGACACCTGAGTGACATCACAGTCACACCTGTGTGAACAGGTACACCGACATCACACCTGCGCCCTGGGGGGGGGAGATACACCTGAGTGACGTCACAGTCACACCTGTGTGACACCTGAGTGACATCACAGTCACACCTGTGTGAACAGGTACACCGACATCACACCTGCGCCCTGGGGGGAGAGACACCTGAGTGACGTCACAGTCACACCTGTGACACCTGAGTGACATCACAGTCAGACCTGTGTGAACAGGTACACCGACATCACACCTGCCACCTATCACCTGTCACACCTCAGCAACACCTGAGCA